TTATTTTATTTTATATTGGATTTCTATACCGCCCTTCTCCCTGAGGACTCAGGGCGGTGTACAGCCAGATTAAAAAACATGCAGAACAAATATTAAAAACAATTAAAAGATATATAAATTTGGCCCAATTAAAACTCATTTACCAATTAAAACGTTTAAAACATTTAAAAACAGTTAAAAATTTCATCTTAAGCCAGCCCGGCTTGTTTAAATAAATGGGTTTTAAGGGCGCGACGGAAGGCACTGAGGTCTTGGATTCTCCTTATCTCTGGGGGGAGCTGATTCCAGAGGGTAGGTGCCCCCACAGAGAAGGCTCTCCCCCTGGGGGTCACCAGCCTACATTGTCTGGCTGATGGCACCCCGAGGAGGCCCTCTCTGTGAGAGCGCACGGGTCGATGGGAGGTCGTTGGTAGCAGCAGGCGGTCTCGAAGATAGCTAGGCCCTATGCCATGGAGCGCTTTAAAGGTGATAACCAACACCTTGAAGCGCACCCGGAAGACAACTGGGAGCCAGTGCAGCTCGCGCAGGAGCGGTGTTACATGGGAGCGCCATGCTGCTCCCGTCACTACCCGCGCTGCTGCGTTCTGGACCAGCTGGAGCCTCCGGGTGCTCCTCAAGGGGAGCCCCATGTAGAGAGCGTTGCAATAGTCAAGGCGAGAGGTGACGAGGGCATGAGTGACTGTGCACAGGGAATCCCGATCAAGAAAGGGCCGCAACTGGCGAATCAGGCGAACCTGACAAAAGGTCCCCCTGGTTACAGCCGTCAGATGTTCCTCCAAGGACAGCTGCATATCCAGGAGGACTCCCAGATTGCGAGCCCTCTCTGTGGGGGCCAATGACTCGCCCCCAATAGTCAGTGATGGAGTCAACTGACTATATCGGGATGCCGGGAGCCACAGCCACTCAGTCTTGGAAGGGTTGAGCTTGAGCCTGTTCCTCCCCATCCAGATCCGTACAGCCTCCAGGCACTGGGACATCACTTCAAGGGCATCGTTGGGGTGGCCTGGGGTGGAGATGTACAGCTGGGTGTCATCAGCGTACTGGTGGTATCTCACCCCAAAGCCACGGATGATCTCACCCAGCGGCTTCACATAAATGTTGAACAGGAGAGGCGAGAGGACCGATCCCTGCGGCACTCCACAAATGAGAGGCCTCGAGGTCGACCTCTGCCCCTCTGCCAACACAAACTGCGACCGGTCGGAGAGAAAGGAGGAGAACCACCGCAACACGGTGCCTCCCACCCCCAACTCTTCCAGCCGGTGCAGCATGATACCATGGTCAATGGTATCAAAAGCCGCTGAGAGGTCTAACAGGACCAGAACAGAGGAACAACCCCTGTCCCGAGCCCTCCAGAGATCATCAACCAACGCGACCAATGCCGTTTCTGTGCTGTACCCAGACCTGAAACCCGACTGGAACGGATCTAGATAAGATGTTTCCTCCAGGAATTGCGGAAACTGTCGTGCGACCACACTCTCAACAACCTTCGCCATAAAGCGAAGGTTGGAGACAGGACGATAGTTGGCCAATATTGCCGGATCCAGGGACGGCTTCTTGAGGAGAGGCCTCACCACCGCCTCTTTCAAGGCGGTGGGGAAGTAACCCTCACTCAACGAAGCGTTGATAACACCCTGGAGCCAGCCTCGTGTAACCTCCCGGGAAGCCAGTACCAACCAGGAGGGACACGGGTCCAGTAAACATGTGGCCGCACTAAGTCTCCCCAAAATCCTGTCCACATCATCAGGAGTCACAGCATCAAACTCCTCCCAGATAACATTCTCAAGACTATTCCTCGTCACCCTGCCCTGATCTACCCAGTCAGAGTCCAAATCCCCCCGGATCTGGGCGATTTTGTCATACAGGTATTGTCCGAAATCCTCCGCCCTGCCTTCTAAGGGATCCTCCCGCACTCCCGGATGGAGCAGGGCGCGGGTCACCCTAAACAGGGCGGCCGGACGATTCCCTGATGACGCAATAGAGGCGGAAAAGTAGTTAGACTTTGCCGTCTCTATCGCCACTAGGTAGGCCTTAATATGCGACCTTACCAGTGTTCGATCAGATTCAGCAAGACTGGCCCTCCAACCGCTCTCCAGGCGTCTTTTCCGGCGCTTCATTTCCCTCAGCTCCTCAGTAAACCAAGGAGCCGCACGGGATCGGCATCGGGTCAGAGGCCGCAAAGGCACAACTCGGTCCAAGGCCCCACCAGTCGCCCGATCCCAGGCGGCTACCAGATCCTCGGCCGAGTCATGTGCTAGATCCTCAGGAAATGGCCCAAGCTCCGTCTGGAACCTATCAGGATCCATCAGGCGCCTGGGGCGGATCCATCTAATTGGATCCGCCTCCCTGCGGCGAGGGGTCGCGGTTCGAAGATCTAGGCGAAGGAGTGAGTGGTCAGACCATGACAAGGGTTCCATGTCTATATCCCCTATAACAAGACCACTCAACCACTGGCCAGAGACAAAAATCAGATCCAGAGTGTGACCTCCCCTCTGAGTAGGGCCATGAACTAACTGGGTCAGGTCCATGGCCGTCATGGAAGCCATGAACTCCCGAGCCACCTCAGACGTTTCACCGACGGATGGCAAGTTGAAATCACCCATGACTAAAAGCCTGGGTGTATCTACTACCACCGTGGCTATCACGTCGAGTAGCTCAGGTAGGGCTGTTGCCACGCGGCAGGGAGCCAGGTACGTAAGCAACAAGCCCATCTGAACCCCACGGCCCCACCTCACAAGGAGGGACTCACATCCGGCTATCTGAGGCACAGTGGTCTCCCTCGGACCCAGATCCTCGTTAATAATAACCGCCACCCCCCCGCCCCTCCCCTGAGCCCTCGGCTGATGGAATGCTCTGAAGCCTGGTGGGCACATTTCAACCAGAGGGACGCCACCCTCCGGGCCCAACCAGGTCTCCGTAATACCCGCCAGGTCCGCTCCTCCCTCTTGTATAAGATCGTGGATGAGGGGGGCCTAACAATAACTGTTGGTTATTGTCCATTTGGTTTCCTGGGTGGCCTACTGAAGTGGGTTGCCATTTTCCAATAAATTATATTTATAGTGTGTTCCTTCTTCTATGAATGACTACTCATCTTGGGTGGCTTTGGGGGAATGTACACTCCTGATGCAGTGGTGGGTTTCAAATTTTTTTACTACCGGTTCTGTGGGCGTGGTTTGGTGGGCGTGGTGTGTCTTGGTAGGCGTGGCAGGGGAAGGATACGGTAAAATCTCCACTCTCTCCTGATCAGCTGGGACTTAGGAGGCAGAGAATAGATGGGGGTGGGGTCAGTGGTCAGTCAGAATTTTTACTACTGGTTCTCTGAACTACTCAAAATTTCTGCTACCGGTTCTCCAGAACTGGTCAGAACCTGCTGAAACCCACCTCTGTCTTGATGGTATGTATCATTGGCAGGCATAAACTACTTCACCAGGAACAGATAATGAGATTTCTCTCTCTCTCTCTTCCTCTGGTTGAATAACTGTTGAGCAAAGTCTGATGTTCCAGTTTCTTAAATTTATTTATTGAAAGCCCTTCTATCTCACCTCTCTATAAAGCTATAATGATTCTTATCATTTACCTCAAGGAGAGGCAACATATAATCCAGCAACTGCTCTTGGATTACAGATCCCATTGCAGGTCCCTACATTCTACAGACTATGGCCTAAAAAGAGTTCGTAGGTTATGTGTTGTGTTTTTAATCACATGGTGTTTTCATTGAACATATAGTGTTCAACATAGTTTTATTTATACATGTAATGTTTAATTGAATAGCTTATCTGCTTTGCATTGAATGTATCAGAATTCTTTCTAACAGCCCAATAAGATAAGCCAGTGTTGTTATCCTACAGTTTGGGAGAGGGAGAATCAAGTAGGTAAACATATTTAAAGAGATAAGGCAACAGTGAAATCCACTTACCTTTGCTACTGATTCGGGAACGGGAATGCGTGGGAATGCGTGCGTGCTATGCGTGCACATGCCTCTTCTAGCATGTGCAGAGCCTTCTGTGCATGCGCAGAAAGTCAAAAATGGGACATAATGATGTCCCAGGGGGTTGGCGGAGTCTCCCGCCACCGGCGCTACCGGTTCACACGAGCCGGATAGATCCGGCCAGATTTCACTGCTGCTATAAAGGTACATAGCATATGTTTATGAAATTTAAATATATAGTGATTCATACTCAGTATGGAAGAGCTGGTTAAAATCAGGTAAAGAAGGACATTCAGTGAGTGACCTTGTCTTAATTATTGCCTTTCTGCCTAATAATCTTCACAGGACTATTTTGACACTGCATTCAATTCTGGAAGCAATACTGTAAGAAGAGACCATTATAGCTAACTGAATTGAACTCAGAAGAAAGGAATGATTATTACTGATTAGGGAAACACCGTGCTACTAGGAATGTATAAAGGAAGTGAGTGTGTCTGGCAAGAGGACACTGGTTGGATGTGCTAGTCCTCTTCAAGCATCCTTGAAGGGATTTCTGCAGAAGGTGACAGAAGGTAGGCTAGATCTAATGAGATTGAGTTACAGAAGGATACATCTCGAATTTCAGAAATCTGGATACCAGAAGGAATTCTTGATAGTAAGAATAGTTTGACAATATAATACATTCTTCAGAAAGACGGGGCCTCTTTCAAATGAAGATGTCCAAGTCAAGAGTAGATAGCCATTTACTGGGGAAGCTTTGTCTTCAGTTTTCATATTCAAAATTGGACTGCGGCCTATATGAATTTTATTAACTCTGTGATTCTATGATAATAGAACTGGTAAAGCTCATATGTACTGTACAGTGCTTGGATCTTTGGGAAGAAAACTAGGAATGCAATTAAATATTCATTGAAATAAATTAAATATTTAAAAATAAAATAAAATGTTTTTAAAAACCCTCCACAGCACACTGATTTTTCAGTACACCAGAAAAAGGTTCTTTAATAATCAGGATTTCCTGAATCACCCCATCATTTTGATGAGATAAATAAAGGACAAAGGAAAGTAAATGTACCTGAAAATGTTCTGGCTTGTCTTCAAATAGCATATTGATGTACTTATAGTCAGCATACATCCAGTATTTACACAAATCATAACTACTGAATGGTCCAGAAGGACAAGGTTGCTGTCTTCCACTCCAGGCCAGAAAATCATCAAGCGTAGCCTCTGCATACGCACACTCCGTTTCGAAGAGAGGAGCCGTAGCTGTATCAAAAGAGACAACATTACATGCACATTAAACACAACACCAATAATAAGAGACAGATATGAAGCAAAGCACTTTAGGAGAGAAAGCAATAACTTTCTCTCTCTGCCTCAGACTGCTGGTTAAATGCAATATAAAAACCACAAATGAAATTACAGCAGTTTATAGATGTTTCAGCTGAAGATGCAGCATATATGACAACGCTCATACGTAACTCTTTTATTGCTGGGAGCCTTTGTTGTGCCTAAATCTGTAGATGAGGTTTTGTGTTTGCCTTTAAACTATATCTAGTTCTTTCAATAAATGTTTGTCCCTTTTGGAGTTTCTGAATTTTTCATAACATTGCCACCAAATCTCATCAGGGCTTCGTGTGGACCCTACTGGTATAAAAATGGAATCGAGAGGAGCAAATAACCAGAAACCTGCTGCTTGCTTTATGTATTTCATAAATAGTCACTGAAAACACAGAGTGCCAGTAGGAAAAGAGAACTAACTGCCTTCTTAGATTCAGTAACTGGTTACCCTGTCTGTAGCTGTGAGAACAGCAATCCAATCTTCCAATAATTGTACATTTGTTTCAGGATCCAAGCTAATTTGGGTTTAGATTTTGGTGCATGATCAATGAATGTGCCCAAGTCCACCATTATTTAAGTCAGGTCTCTCCAAACTTGGGAACTTTAAAACCTGTGGAGTTGAACTCCCAGAATTGTCTGGCTGGGGAATTCTGGGAGTTGAAGTCCACAAGTCTTAAAGTTGTCAAGTTTTGAGACCCCTCATTTAAGTGACGGGGAGCTTCCGCAGTGCTACTAATGTATAGACTAGTGGTGCTGCAGAGACTCAGTGCTTTTTCAACTCTCTTAAAAATCTCTGTCAAGATTTAAAGAATTATTAAGGCATCCTCAGTGAGAACTTTGTTTTAGCCCTAGAGCCTTGATGGCGAACTTATGGCACGCGTGCCACAGGTGGCATGCGTAGCCATATTGGTGGGCATGCAAGCTCAGCTCCGGCACACGCCAGCTGATTTTCAGGCCTTCTGGGCCCACCAGAAGTAGGGAAACAGGCTGCTTCCTGTCTCCAGAGGGCCTTGGGGTGGTGGTGGTGGTGGGAAAGGCCCATTTCTTTCTCTCCCCAGGCTCCAGAGCCTTTCTAGGAATCTGGGGAGGGTGAAAACGGCTTTTCCCATTCCCCCGGAAGTCCTCTAGAGGCTGAAAACATCCCGTTTGCCAACTTCCAATGGGACCGTTGGCAAAGGGTGAAAAAGGCCGTTTTCGCCCTCTCCAGACTCCTAGAAAAGCTCTGGAGCCTGGGGAGAGAGAAAAACGGGCCTACCTGAGCTATCATGTGCCAGGAGGGTGGGAAGCGTGGGGGAATCGTGTGCAAATACGCAGGGCACATAGAATTATGGGTGTGGGCATGTGCACATGCGGCCCTCCCCACACTCCGCCCACTCCTGGCATGCGATGGTAAAAAGGTTAGCCATCACTGCCCTAGAGTCTATGCCTTGTTTTCAATTGCTTTAGAAATTCTCTTCATTTGCCATTCGAAGATGCTGATTTCCTAGTTGTGAGGATATAGGCCTCTGTTAAAATCCCTGAAATATTTCCTTTCCAGCCAAGAAGCTTATGTTTTAGTCCATAGAAACACAAGGTTGTTGCCTTCTACTAAGTCAATCTCTGATCCATTTTGGCTGGTTGTGTTGGCATGGAATAACAGCTGTCTTCTAGGATTACAAGCCAGAACTTTTTGAGCCTTGCTGCATATCAAAGGGACTGAATTACGTTTTTATTTCTTGCATTTATATAATGCCAGAATTAGATATCTTTTGCACTCAGACTGCCTGTTGTATTTTTCCGAGAAAGGGAAATGAAATAAAAAGCTGGAGGATCAGCGGAACCATCGTGATTTAACCTCATATGAATGAATTAATGCATCTGTTTTATGCAATGACATTTTTTAAACCAAGGGTCTAGAGTTCACTTTGGATTACAAGCAGCAGGTTCCTCAAATATTCCCCAGAAACATTTCTCTTTCCTGTATTCATCAGCAAAAACTGTATTGTTCAGCTCACAAGTGGAGATATTTAGTATGTCTGGATTTTAACTGAATCGGTATGCTGTCAAACCAGTGAGCTTTTGGGAACTGAAATACACACTGAAAATAAATAGCCAGATATTCTTCTATCTTTTCTCCTAGACAGAATTCATAAGAGAGAAGAAAATGTTGTACATATATAGTCTGGGAGTCAGCCTATGATGTTCCAAATAAACATTTTAAATGCCTTTTTCCTAGACTGTTTAGATGAAAATTCAGTAGGCTATTGCCACAACTAAACAAGTAATCATTCCCCCATAAATGTATTAAGTACCACTACATTTTTTTTTGCCATTTTTCCACACAAAGTAGATTTCATTGTTCATTTGAGAAAGAGCTTTACTCTCAATAATATATTTTTAAAGAAAAGTATGGCTATAGATATAGATGATACTTTATTTGTTAATGCAGTGATTTTCAAGTTTTTCTTCACCACAGACCCCCTTTAAATACCTTTTTTGGCCATGGCCATGGACCCACCCAAGACTTAAATCAAGATTTAAATCATAACATTTCTTCAAGCCTTCAAGACCTCCTGTGATAACATTGCGCCCCCTCCCCCCACCAGTGTCCACAGACCACAGATTGAGAATCACCATGATAATGTATAGGATGTTTATCCCACCCAAGTCCTGCTGTGCTCTGGTGTTGTTGTTGGATGTTCCTGGGAGGAATCAAAAAAGAATGCTGGATTGTGCGCTAGAAGTATTTATTCCCAGCAGTGTCACCCAAGGTGAGAAGGTCACCCTTCACGCAAGCAGGCACCTATATTGAACAGCCGTAATATAGGAAGACGCCAGAAGCAGATGACCACTTTAGTGTCAATAGCAAAGATATCAACTTGTTGTGTGGGACAAGGAAATCCACCTCTATGTTTTTACTAAGAAAACCGCATGGATAGAAAAGGTGAAATGAATGACAATATAGTGCTGGATGATGGACCTCTCAGGTCCATGTGTTACTGAGGATGAGTTGAGGATCTTTTGGAGTATGCCTATGGAGATTCTCAGTCATCCAGGTCATAGTTGCCCCAAAGGTGCTTTTTCAAGGGGCAACTGAACTTTCTGGGTTTTTTTAAAAAAAGATGTTTCATTTCTCATCCAAGAAGCTTCTTCAGCTCTGACTAGATGATGGGGAATGGAAGGAATTATATTCTTTGCAGACAGCTGGTCATTTGCATTCTTTTAGAGTCATTGAAGGTGGAGGTTTATCTGTGTCATCAGGGTCACCTGAGTAGAGCAAATGGGTGTGGAGCCTTATTGGAATTGTTGAAAGGACTTGTTGTAGACTGGACATAGATGATGTCATATCCCTCTCCCTCTGTTGAGAGAGGGCTGTTCATTTCTGACATAAATGGTCTCTTTGACTCCTCTTTCAAACCAGCGGTCCTCTCTGTCCAAAATGTGGACTTTGCTGTCTCCAAAAGAGTGGCCTTTGCCTTTTAAATGCAGATGGACTGCTGAATCTTGTCCTGATGGGTTTGTTCTTCTCTGTTGTGTCATGTATTTATGAAGTGGTTGTTTTGTTTCCCCAATGTACAGATCTGCACATGGCTCATTGCATTGTACTGCATACATAGAACAACATTAATATGCCAAAGGATGCTGGGAGACAGATGGTAATCAATTAAAAAGAGAAGATGGAAGATGTATACTGAAACACTATACAGTAGAGATGTCAACATCCAAGGTACCTTAGAAAATATTCCTTATATACAAGAACCTCTTGTACTGAAAGATGATGTTAGATCAGCACTCTGTCATTACTAAGTTGGAAGCCTACAAGAACTAATGTAACACCCACTGAAATATGGCAAGCACCAGCAGAAGAACTAGTCAAAATATTAACCAGGCTATGTTTGCAAATCTGGAGAATGATACCATGGCCAACTGATTAGACAACATAAATCTACATTCCAATACCAAAAAAGACTTATTGTGCAAATTATTGTACAATATTCTTATTGTCACATGCTAGCAAAAAAATGCTTAGGGTTATCGAGAACCGATTAGAGCCCTACATGGAAGAAAAGATGCCTGATGTTCAAGCTGGCTTTGGAAAAGACAGAGGAACACGAGACACTATTACTAATCCAAACTGGGTAATTGCAAAAGCTAAAGAAAGCCAAAAAGATGTCAATAAGTGCTTCATTCATTATAGAAAAGCCATTGGTTGTGTTGTTCACATGAAGCTATAGAAAGTGTTCAGAGAAATGGGAATCACAGAATAACTTGTTGTTCTCATGAGCACTTATATACAGGTCAGGAAGCCACAGTATGGTCAGAATGTGGCAAAACAGACTAACAGACTAACTCCAGGTTGGCAAAAGAGTACAACAAGGCTGCATATGCTCCTATTATCTATTCAACCTACATAGGGAATATATATTAAAAGAAGTTGAATTGGAAAAAAGATGAGTGTGGTTTTAACGCTGGAAGAGAAGAAAATATTACCTGCACTATGTTGATGACCCTTCCCGGACAGCCAAAAATGCCAAGATCTGCAAGCTAAACTAAAACTCAAAGAGCACTGTGAAAAAAATTAAATATAAAATCTAAATTGCTATAATGACAAAAGATACTAACAGCCAGTCTTAGAACTGACAATGAATATATCAAAGTAATGAATAGGTTCTGCCTTTTAAGATCAACCATCAACAGTAAAAGAACCAGCAGTCATGAAATACATCAAGGCTAGTACTTGATAGATCAACCATGAAGGCCTCGGAAAAAATACAAATGCTGTGATGTGCTTATATATATAAAGATCAGAATCATACAAGTCATGGTATTGTATAGTATTCCCTGTGATTTTAAAGAAGCAGGATAGGAGGACTATTGACTCCTTTGAAACTTGGTATTGGACAAGTTTCCTGAGAATAAATGGGACAGCCAAAAAAACAAACCAA